ATATGTCTAACTCTTAATTTGGAAATTGTTTCCCTGTTTTGAAAATCGAAATACTTTGTATTCTGTTTTTTCTATTCTTCAGTCTCTTGATTCTGATACCYATAAATMAGACTTCGCATTCTAAGCTCTAGAACTTGATTCTCAATAGTGACTCTAACTCAGTTTTAAATTCGGATTGCATGAAGCTTACCTCCCCTCATGAGTTAGTTTTGGTTTGGGGCAGGCAGGTGAAGGTTCTGATCAGTATCTGAGGGTAGGGATGCCAAGTTTCAGATGGTGGATACTTTCGTTTTTCTTCTSAGGACTATGTGGTAGAGGAGGTCGGCTTGTCGCAAGAGGAAGTCGAGGGTTGTCTGCTTTCACTTTTCTTCATCTCGTGAACTATGGGTGGAGGAGATCGACTTATTGCGAGATGCAGTTGAATAAGGGGGTCTGTGACGAACCACTTCACGAACCCGTGCTATCTTTCGTACCCTTTCTTTTGCTTGTATCCTACCAACCCCAGGAAAAATCCCGTTTTGATTTTCTGCTTTCTGGTGCTGCACTTTCCTTTTTTTTTTAGAGCTTTTTCGACTGCTGAGTTCTGTTTTTCCTTTTGCAAAGTCGTGAAATACATGGGAAATTGCGCGCGCCTTAGCAAGCGCACTGGGAATTGGGCTCGGTAGTTGGGAACTCCGGGATAAGCGGAACTTCGACTTGTCCTTTTTGGGTGTGTAAATGTTCTTGGGCGTGTCAGGAAAAACTCGCGGAATTTTGCGTAAATACGAATAGGCGCAGAATTTTTTTTCCCGCATCGTTTTTTTCGCGCGCGGATATGGTGATTTCAATTTTTGAATTGGAATAGAAGCAAGCTGTAACTGTTTCGGTGCCTTTTCCTTTTTTTTGTTGACGGCGCCGTGCATGCAAAAGCTTCTTCCTCTCTGTCCCCCGCATCGCTCCCTCCCGCGCCTCCCTTCCCTTCTCCCTCCTTTTTCTCTCTCCCCGTAACTGTTTTTTCTTCTCCCTCTCTCTCTCCCGCCTTGCTTCCGCGCGCCTATTTCCCTTTCTCAATCATCTGAATCTTGGACCCGTCTTGCGCCACCTCTCGCGCCTTTTCTCTTCTCACCCTCTTAGCCTGGCGTACGACGCCCAATCGATCCTTCGATAACTCCCGCTCGCCAATCAGGTGCGTGGATCGATAGGACCTACCTATTGCGCGACGGATCTGATTGGTTGAACCTTGAGTTCCGAGGGATCAACATGGCATTCTCAGAGCGCTCATCTCAAAGTCTTCTCCTCCTTCTCCTCCTCCACCCCCGCCTTCCCGTCGTTCTCTGCCCCTTCTATCTCCTTTCTCACAACTATAAAACCCGCAAGCGCGCCCGCAAATCTTTCTTACGTTCTCAATTCCTAAGCCAACTTCCGGGAAGCAGTGGCTAGGCAGAGTGGATTGATGCGAGTCGGAAAGTCCTGTCGGGCTGACGATAGGCTGGCCGGTTGCGCGCTTGATCGCCACGAAGGACTGTGGGATCCGGGCGAACCGTGTCGAGTTTTCGACAGCGGGGTGACGATCGCAGTGGTGGGAGTTAGCATGCGACGGTCGGGATTGTCGGTGCTGATATGAGGGTTGATGATTGGAGTTGAGTGAGTAAATAGCCCGGGGCCATAGTGGAATTAACGGCGAATGCGCCCTAGTTGCGGATTGTTACCCTTGGCGTGAGTGTAAGGCGGCGACGCCGAACTTTTCTCTTTTCGGACCTTGTCGTCTTCTATTTGACTCTCTCTCTCTCTCTCTCTCTCCTCTTGAATGATGATGCGTCTGAATGATTGTTCCGCTCTTGAATGGAAATGAGTCGGCATTCTGTGTGAAGGAACTTCTTCCGGAACTCTTCCATTAGTTTCCTGGGTAATCCTCCTACGTAAGGACCCTGTTTTCTTGTCTTGTGAACCGTGGATGCATGTGTACTGAGTGATGCGATCCATCTTTTCCTGTGCACATCTCATTTTTGCACCTTCCATAGTGAATGCATGTAGGGAATGAGTGACTCTTTTGTTGATTAGACGATTGTCGTCGGGATTTTATTCGAAAATGCAAGAGTGTTTAGATCCGTAGCTCTGTTTACACTGCGCATGTTATCTACCTTATGATGCACGATATCAGCAGCCGAGTCACGACGCGGCCCTGAGAAACAAGGCGCCCAGGGACCAAGGTTGTGTTGGGCTGATCGAACCCATAGCCATATGCGTAATCAAGTTGATCTGTGTTTGCTCTCTCTCTCTCTCTCTCTCTCATGTCAAGAAGGATTGATTGAGGATTACGCAAATGATTTCTATTTTTGATGACGTCTCGGGATATTTGTGATTGATGGATATGTGGACTCACAAGCATCCTTCGACTGGGCGCCAGCCTCCCGTATCTCCCATCCCAACTTGACCTTTTCCTTACAGTGAGGAAAGGACACGTGTATGCGAGTGGGACGTACGAGAAGTCGTTGCACGAATCGGCGGACAATATTACTTCCCTCCCGAAAATCGTTGTTCTGGATTCGTAGATGCGGGCTTTGTTATTATCGATACGCACTTCCCACCTTACTCGGTATTGTTGCCATTTAACAAGTTGATCGTCATTCCGTGGACGGCAGTAGAACCCCACTGGCCGCGCACTCTGTGCACCGAATGTCAGCGTTTTGAGCGCTACGAGTCCAGGGGTTTCCACTACCGTGTGCGGAGTGAAGACGAGCATAAAGAAAGAGCCACACAGCTGAGACCATCCACGTTGGACTCGGAACTTACCAGCGAGCGACAACGAGATTTGATACGGAAACGAGACACGCGAAGCGTGCCAAAACCTTTTTGCTCCAAACGACGGGCGGTAGCTTGGTGGGAAGCCCAACACTATTTTTTTAATTGAATTTGGGTCTTTCTGTTTCCGCGCCACGTCCGCGCGCGCATCTGCGACGCGCGAAACTAACCAACTTGCTCCATCGAACCAACACGGGGGATTTCAGTTCCGTCTATGTCCCCACGCTCAATTTCCAAAAATCCTTGGCATACCCCATCTTGCTGTTTTTTTCTGGGCCTCTTTTCGCATGACTAACACTCCGAACGGAAGACAGCACAGGGCGTGAGGTTGGTATTGGAGCCGACACGTGTCGGTTCTGATGATAGCATGTCGAACTGGCGAGAGGTAGGAGAGACCCTCAACTAGCTCGTCGAGATCGCCTCGTAACCAGGTCTCAGTCTAGTGTGGTTGTGCCAGCAATACCAATGGTGGACGGTACTAGGGTGATCGTTAGCATCCCTGCCCCTTTCCCCTTCTTCCCCAACCATACCCATCCCAAGGCTTGGCTGAAAGTTGTCGAAGCTCAAAACTACAGCGCAACCTATTTTCCCTGTGTTATGATATTGCTACTCTGCAATACCTCGCACGACTGGTTCAGAAAGCATACATGGGTAGATGGGGAGACTTTTAAGCATGCATTCTTGGCTCAATTCGATATGGTTAGTGAAGATGCCGCCTGGTACGTGCTCAAAAATCGACCCCAAGGATCAGGGGAAATGTTACCCGATTTCGTTGATCGATTTCAAACCACACTGGATAAATCCGGGCGAGACGAGAATTCCGCTTGAGACTTGTTTATTGATCACCTTCGAAGTCTGACCTACAAAGGGAAACTGCAGAAAAAGGTTCCACCAAAAACAACCCAGTTGTCGGCTATCATCACTAAAGCGTTGGAGCTAGACTTGGCTGATACAAAAAAATATATCAGCCAGGGAGACGAGGATATTACAGATACCATACGGGATGTAACGGCCAAGAGGTGATCTTGGCTACAGGCGGTTGAATGGTTTTATCCCTGCCCCGATCATGACCTTCCCAGCGGAATCGTCTCTGATATCCCGACTGCTTCTTCTCCCTCTCCCCCGGTGAATCAACCAATCGCAGCCGTTAGAAGCGGAACCCCATCCGAACCCCCCTCGCCAGCCATAACCAATTTGCATCTTGCCCAGATGATCCATACGGCCACTACTAAGCAGTCTGAATGGATGAGTAACCTGATCCAAATGCAGGCGGCTCACATGGAGCGGATGGAGCAGATAATGAGCCGGCTCATTAAGCCTAACCCGGCTCCGGCCCGACCTACCCCTGCATCATTTCCGCTCTTACCTGCTCCACCTGCTCCAGGATTCGCCCCCCAGTTTCCCCTTCTAGCTAATCCGGCAGGAAAGATCGAGTGTTTCAACTGCAAACAGCCCGGGCATTTCGCCCGAGACTGTCCGCAGCCAAAACGTAATCAGCCTCCCCCTGTTGCGGCCCCAATGGCCCTTAATCAAGGACGAGTGGCAGCTCTGATGGACACGGACCAGGGAGGAGAGGCCGTAGCATACGCTCCAGAACAGCCTTCCCCTTCAACGACAATGGCGTCAACATCAGGAGCCTCTTCCTCTGACGCTGCTGACGTGGTCAATCCCCTCGAGTATCTCCATCTTGCCGGAATGATCGGAGCAATCCGATCGTCCCAAGATGATCTCGAATGGATCGATCGCGAGTCCAATCCTAGACCACAGTTTCGGAAAGGGGATATTGATGTACTGAAAACGCTCAAGCAACTAGACATTCGCGTGCCTATCCCAGTGGGACATCTGCTCACCATATCTGTAAAAGTGAACGATAAGCTGTTACAACATTGTCAGAAAAATCAAAAGCGCTTCACCTATCAGCGCGTACAACGGATGTTGAAGAAGAAGGAAGAAGGTGAGGAGGTTGCACCCCTCGAGCCAGACACAAAAGAAGCTGAACCCGAAGCCACACGTATAGCAGCGATCTCTTTAGCAGAAAAGGATCACTTCGTACGAGCTCGACGGGTACAATGGAAAAGCGCGGAATGTGACTGTGAAGTTTGGGGTAAACCGTTTAATGCCCTAATCGACACAGGGTCTTCTGCAGTGGCCATATCATTGGAGACTGTTAAAAAGACGGGATGACTTTGATCCATTCTTCCTCAATCTGGCAAAAACAACTATGTCTCTGCCGACGAGGAAGTAATGAACATCGTAGGCGTTATCGAGAACGTAGCTGTAAAAGTGGGACGAGTACACGTCCTTGTTAACGCACTTGTAATAGATGTACGTTCATACTCTGTATTGTTGGGATTGYCTTGGGCAATGGCGGTGGGCGCACGKYTGCATTTCRATTCGAAACAATTGGTGCTCACACASACTGGGGGAAAGCCTCAGACTGTTCCCTTGCGGGTTTCCACCCGAACGATAAAACGGGTTCCTAACTCGCTCCAAATAGGGATGATCCGATACATTGATCCCGAGGAATGCTCCCCCTCGTACCTCGAGGATAGAATCAGGGAACGAGAATACGAAGAAGAGATGCACAGAAAAGAGGAATGGAAGCATCTGGTCGAACTTTTCGAACATGAAACCCCCGAAAAATTTCGAATGTGCCCCAACATCGCTCGAAGCTTCCACGTGGATTCCGAAGACAGTACATTCACGCCTCTAACAACCCTGGTCAGTCCTTCTGTCCTCCTCGGGGAACCCATATTACAAGTTTCCGATCTGACTGACGATTTGGAACCCCCTCGCACCTTGTACGAGGGAGCTCTTTCCTTACGAACGCGTTATCAGCAAACGGAACAGTATTTGGATATTTCTGTTTTCCCACCCCGATCATTACTAACGACAGGAGCCACCATCATCTTGATTAAACAACGAGCGGAAGCACCAGTAAAAGATGTGCCGAATCTAATGCAAGAAATGACGGATCTAATAGGACTAACTGTGAAACTGACTTCGGTTGGTTTAGAGACTGACGCTGAAACTAAAGAAACGGAGATGATCAGCCCCGCTGAGTCCCAGATGATAGCAACTGTCTTTTCTGTTTGCACCAGTAGTTTCGTTTACTCTAGTGTCCATGAGCGGCGGGAACGGCCGGTTGACTGGATCGATATGCCCCTTAATATGTCCAGGGAATCGACGATCCCTCCTCCGAGTCACGTTCCCGCGGAATTTCGAAAGTCACTAATCTGTGTATTGAATGGTTACGCAGAAGTGCTGAGCGTGCATGACAATGACATTGGGTTAACTAATGTAATTGAACATGCCATTCTCACGGGAGATCATCCGCCCATTAGCTGCGCTCCCTATCGATACTCGCCAGCTCAACGAGCGACCGCTTTTCAACGGATTAAGGAGTTCGAAGCGAATGGATGGATCGAACCCGCTATAGGACCATGGTCCTTCCCTGTAGTGATCGTACCTGCGAAGGCTGGGGGGATTCGCATTTGCATTGATTATCAAAAGTTGAATGATATCACGATTAAGGATGTGTATCCCCTCCCCTGGATTGATGAGTTATTGGATGCGATTGGGAGTGCTCGATTTTTCAGCACGTTTGATGTTCGTCATGGGTTCCATCATCTTCTTGTCGGAGAGGAAGATCGACCGAAAACAACGTTTGTGCTTTTCGAAGGCACGTGGCAATGGATTCGATGTCCGATGGGTATCTGCAATGCTCCTGCAACTTTTCAGCGGGCCATGAACATGGCCTTTCAGAATTTCGTATGGAAGACTTGTTTGGCACAAAGCATCATCAACTACTGCGTGATTGTGTACATGGATGACATCCTAGTGTATTCGAGTTCTTATGAGGGACACGTGCAGCACATCGAATGGGTAATGCATGCGTTACGAGATGCAAGTTTTAAGGTGGCGCTTGAGAAGTGTCAATTTTTCCTCACCACCGTTTCTTTCCTAGGGCACGTAATGACAGACAAGGGACTCCAACCGGAGCCGCAGAAGGTGGCAGCTGTCAGGGACGCGTCAGTACCAACCACTATCACGCAAATTCGCGCCTTTCTGGGCTTAGCATTGTATTACCGAAGATTCATCAAGGGCTTCGCGGCAATAGCGGGACCCCTCACAAATCTCCTGCGCAAGGATCAGCCGTTGATCTGGACGCCCGAGTGCGATCGAGCGTTTTCCAAGCTCAAGGTTGCTCTCATTTCGGCTCCGGTCCTTATAAGACCGGATCCCGAAAAGCCTTTTGTTCTCATCACTGACTGGCAGCCAGAGGCGATTTCGACGATCCTTGCTCAGGTGGGACCAAGCGGACTCGAGAGTGTGGTGGAGTATGCGTCCAAATCAGTACCCGCCTGCAAGCGCAACTACGCCGCTCCGACGGGAGAATGCTATGCGGCTCTCTGGGGAATTAGTCACTTTCGTGCTTACCTGTATGGGCGAAAGTTCACCCTGGTGACTCATCATGAGCCCCTGTTGGCTATGAAGAAATCGAAGGATTACTCGGGCATCATTGGGCGATGGGCAACGGTGCTGCAGAGCATGGACTTTGACATCCGCCATCGGAAGTACGAGAGACACGGGAACGCGGACGGATTGACACGGTTACACAGGCCTTAGAAAGTTCTGAAAGTGAGGAGGTGATCCTGTGGAACGAACCCGAGCAGAAGATTGGACCTCGGTACGGCCAAGTGAAGATTTTGTCGAAGCAGTAAGTGACACGAAGACTAATTTGCCTGCTCTACTCTCTCCACAATTCAATCCCGTCTCTTCCCCTCTGTCATCATGACTACTCCGCCTGCCTTCACAAACCCTTCTTCTCCTACTAATTCTGCCGCACTTACTTCCTCAACTTTCTTTGCCACCCTCCCCGATAAATTTTGTTATTTTTGCACGTGCATTGCACGGGTTTATGGGGTCGACTGTCATCCCTTCGAAACTGGGTTTGTCGATTGGGTAGAATGTGCCACGTGTGTCAATCGTGCCCACGGGGCCTGTGTACGATATCGAACGAATAGCAAGGAATGGAAGTGCCCCCTATGTAGAACGAACAAGCTCCCCACGCAGGTTCGATTCGAGGTCGCCCGTACGGACAGTCCTGAATACGACGAAACATACCGACGAGCGGAGGTCTAGACAGATAAAATTTTATTAGCGAAATTAGCAGGGTTATCATTGGGTCACCTCACCAAACACGACAGACGTAGGGCAACCGAGAGATCTCGGGATTATCGATGGATCAACGGTCATTTGGAAAAGCGTAAAACTGACGGATCGGGTTCGTGGTTGACGGTTCCTTATCCATTCCAGAGATATGATTGGATCCAATCTGCTCACGAGGAACATGCCGCTCATTTCGCAATACGAGTCACGGAGGCAAATGTAGACCAGAACCGATGGTTTTGGTCCAATAAACGAGATGATGTCAAATACATTGTCGCTAATTGTCTGGTCTGTGCCGCTGATCGCGCCCCCGTACGGGGACCAAACACGATCGTACCAACGAAAGTAGAACGTCCTTTCCAGCGAGTCAGTATGGACACGACCGATATTGACGTGCCACCTGGCCCAAACCGCTGTGAATATTCTATTTTATTAGTATTAATTGACCACTTTTCCAAGTATATCGAAGTCTATCCCTGTAAGACCTGAAAGGCTGCAGAAATAGCCACGTACATCGAACGGTTCCTCTATACCCATCTAGACACGGAAAAAATTCTAACCGACAATGGATCTGAATTTAAAGGTGAGGTAGAAGAACTACTTGCGCGAAGGGGCATCACGCTTCGACATACGACACCCCACGTGTCCCAGTCGAACGGGTTGGCCGAGAATGCCAACCATATGATTAAAACTGCCCTTCGCAGGAACTTAGCGGCACACGACACGCGTCCTTGGCCCGAAATCGTATATCAGATCGTCGGGATCCACCGGGCCACCCCTCACGAGTCCACGGGGTTCACCCCCTTTCATCTTCGAACTAATAGCCTTCCCTGTGTCGATTACCGGGGTAACTCGGAAATTGCCGAAGCAGGGGGTAGAGACACGCGTGCGGCCCTCAAAGCCAAGGCCAAGAGGTACACCGACTTAATGGAACRGGCCRTTCCGAAGCTAGCCCGGAAAAGGCAAAGGATGACCGAACTGGCCCACGGTAGACAGGTCCGCAGCTATGAGGCTCGGAACGGGAATGCTGGGCCCCAGTACCAATATAAATTGGGGGACCTAGTGCAGGTACGTAAATGTGCACGCGACCAGAAACTCGCTCCCAAGTTCTCTGGCTGTTTTCGAATTGTAGAACTCGGACCCAATGGCGCCAACACGGTGCGCGTCGTGCCTGAAACTAGTGTCAGTCATAGCTTCGTCCCCATCGTCCGACATACCTCCTACCTCCGTCTCCTTCCTCCTTCCGATCTTCCTCCCTCTTCTCCTTCGGAAAGCGAGGAAAACAACGACGATCTAACCCTCTCTCCTCTTTCTCCCTCTTGTCCCTCGTCCTCCTCTCCAACCTCGCCATGAGTTTTATCACGGAGCGGGTTCTTGACTTACAGCTGCGGCAGCCACATGGCTACATCTCCGAAATTTGGCAAGTTTGTCACCCTCGGCTCAATATGGATCTCCGCCGTTTGATGCGGTTCTTCTGCGACGAAGGTATTTGTGCCGCCGCTGCGTTTCGGATAGAAGGAAGCCCTCACGCGATAGTGTTCGCAGAGGTTACTGCAATTCATCGGCGACTCTCTCTCTCTCTCTCTCTCTCTCTCTCTCTCTCTCTCTCTCTCTCTCTCT